TGCTTCCTCTTTAATTCTTGATTTTAGTCATTTTTGTCTTCTCTCTTACTTTGTTGTTCAGTCTAGGTAAAGCATTTGTTATTTGTTAAACTTTTCAAAAAACCAGCTTTTGGTTTTGTTGATTTTTCTCTACTTTTCCATTTTCTATTGCATTGACTTATTTCTTAATTTCATTATTTTCTTCCTTCTGCTTGCTTTGTGTTTAGTTTACTCTTTTTCTGGTTTCCTAACTTGGAAGCTCAGGTTTTAAATCTGAAACCATTCTTCTTTTCTGATACGGGCATTTAAAGCTAAAAATGTCTGTCATATGGAATGTAGCATTGTTTTAACTATCCATAAAATTTGATATGTTGTGTTTTCATTTTTATTCAGATCAAAATATTTTTAAGTTTCCTTTATGAGTTCTTTGATCCATGGGTTATTTAGAAGTTTGTTGTTCAATTTCTAGATATTTGTGTTTTCCCATTTCTTACAATAGTCGATCACTAATGTATCTTGTGTTTATAGAACATATTTTATATGATTTCAGTCTTTTTTAGTTTTTTGAGACATACTCCTACCTTGAGACCTCACTCTAATATCAGCATGATAGACACCCTTGCCTTCTTTAGGTCTTCACTCAAATAGCACCTCTTCGTGAGATCTATCCAGACCAAAATCAGAAATAATGACAACCCTGTAGCTCTTCCAATATTATCTTGTATTTTTTGCTTTTTTATAGCACTCCTACCTTCTAATATGCCGTGTAATTCACTTGGCTCTACAGAGGGAGGAATCTTTATTTATTGATGCATTCCTAAGTATTTTTGAGTGTATTTACTAATCTATTCATCTACTTGGACATATGTAGCTGAAATTTCTTCACTTTCTTTGGATAATAGTATTTCATCATAAATGTACCAGAATTTTATAATTAATTCTTCGTGGATGAACATTTGTATTTTTGCTAATTGTGGCCAATTATAAATGGCAATGATCTGAAAATTCATATTATCGTGTCCTAGTACATATATGCCTACATTTTTCTAAGAATATATGTGGGAATGGAATTGATGTGTTGTATGTTGAGCATATCTTCAACATTAGTAGATGATGTCATGTTGATTTGCACTGTGTGTACACATTACTACCAGCAATATGTGAGGATACCAGTTGCTCTACAACTTCACTGACATGTAGTATTGGCATTCTTTTTAATTTTTGCCAACATGTTGGTTTTCTATTAGTATCTTATTCTCTTCCTAATTTGCATTTCCCTGAATTCTAATGTGGTTGAGCACACTTGTATATAATTATTTTATTATTATTATTATTTTTTTCAAGTTAGAGACAGGGTATCACCATGTTGCCCAGGTTGGTCTCGAGCTCCTGGACTCAAGTGATCCTCCTGCTTCAGCCTCCCAAGTGCTGGGATTACAGGTATGAGCCACCACGCCTGGCCCGCATATATGTATATTTCCTCTTTTGTGAGACATCTATTAAGTATTTTGCCCATTTTCCTAATGGTTGTTCATCTTTTTCTTATTGATTTGTAGGAGTTATTCATGTATTTTAGATTTAAGTTCTCTGATAATTCTTTGTGTAGCAAATATCTTCCTAATCTGTGGCTTTTTGTGTGTATATCCATCTCTTGATGATATTTTGATGAACAAAAGTTCTTAATTTTAATGTAGTTTAATTTACCAGTCTTTTCCTTAATGGTTATTGCTTTTTGTATCTTAGGAAATCCTTATATAACTACTCTCAGGCCTTGCTGGTGGAAATACAGAATAGTATAACTTCTACAGAGTGAAATTTAACAATACATAGAAAAATTACATACACATTTACCCTTTGTCTCAGCAATTCTACTTCTTAGAATCTATTTCAGACATATACTGGAAAAATACCAAATCCTGTTTGCACAAAGCTGTTTATCAGGACATTATTCGTAACAGTCTGAGACTGGAAACAAGACCAATGTGTGGGAAATAGTTGAATAAACTATGGTACATCCACACATGGAGTATTGTGCAGCTATAAGAAGGAATGAAAAGAGCTCTACACATTAATATGGAACTATCTCCAGGATATATTGTTAATTGCAAAAAGTAAATTGTAGAACAGTGCTTATAGTAGGTTACTTTTTATGTAGGAGAGAGGTATAACTAATGAATTATGTGTATGTATGTATATACCTATTTGCTTATATTTTCAAAAAAGAAACAATGAAACCATAAGCCAAAACCTAATAAAAATGATTATTTATGGGGAGTGAAAGGAATGGGATAAAGAGGACAGAAATGGAAGTGAGACTTCTGTGAAGGTATTGTATAACAGTTTTACTTTAGATCCATGTAAATATTTTGCATCATTTAAAAGTTTAATTAAAAAGGTAAAAATCAATCCCTAAAATTCAAAAACAACCTGAAGCAAATTAGCCTAATGATAAAGTTAGTAACATAATCCACACAATTGGAAAACAAAAGAAAACAATTACTTATACTGACTTTAAAACAACATTTGTATATTTCCAGTGGGGTCCATATTCTAAGGGCAAAAGTAACTGCAAAGAAATATAAAACTATATTCAGCAGTTTTATTGGTGATAGTATTGTTACTGACATTTTAAAATTCTATAAGTATATTGTAGGAAGAAGATAATAAATCATTTTGCTAATATTATTTTAAGCATGTGAGAGGAAATACAACTCTAAAATGAAGGAGTTTAAGTAAAAACCTTGTTATCTCAAATTTGAGTTGGAAATACCAATATAAACTCATGATTTACTTTTCCCTTTCAAAATGTCCCTCTTGCTCAGCAAACTAACACAGGAACAGAAAATCAAACACTGCATGTTCTCACTCATGAATGGAAGGTGAACAGTGAGAACACATGGACACAGGGAGGGGAACATCACACACTGGGGCCTATGGAGGGAAAGGGAAGAGACAGCATTAGGACAAATACCTAATGCATGTGGGGCTTAAAACCTAGATGATGGGTTGATAGGTGCAGCAAACCACCATGCCACATGTATACGTATGTAACAAACCAGCATGTTCAGCACATGTATCCTCAAACTTAAAGTAAAATTTTTTTAAATTAAAAAATAAAATAAAACCATTCCGGTGTATCATTTAAAAAAATGTCCTAGCTTTTGACCACTGAAAAGGCCTGGAAACAATAACTCAGAAGTTGCTTCTGTACACACCAGCAACACAGTATGGTTTCTAAATATCACTTCCTACTAAAAGGAACCAAGGGTCCTCACAAAAATATTCCAGGTTTGAGTTAGGAAGTGTGCAAGATGAGTTTAGGATATTTGGCTATGCCAGAAAGCTGGGAAGCAATACAGGAGCCAATTTGAAGGGTTTCCCAATGGTCCTAAGTGGAATAATAATACATTTTATTAGCACAGATAAAATATATGAAAATACACTCTTTTATTACTATACTAAAAATAACCATTGGTCACCATTGGACATTTCTTTCCCTCCCCTCCCCTCCCCTCCCCCCGCTTCCCTCTTCCGTGAGACGGAGTCTTGCTCTGTCGCCTAGGCTGGAGTGCAGTGGCACACTGCAACCTCTGTCTCCTGAGTTCAAGCAATTCTCCTGCCTCTGCCTCCTGTGTAGCTGGGACTACAGGCACCCGCCACCACACCTGGCTAATTTTTATATTTTTAGTAGAAACGGAGTTTCACCATTTGGCCAGGCTGGTCTTGAACTCCTGACCTTGTGACCTGCCCTTCTCAACCTCTCCAAGTGCTGGGATTACAGGCATGAGCCACCGCGCCCAGCCACCATTGGACATTTCTAAGGTGTCAACTTTTACTCTCATAATTGATAAATAATGGCAAAGAATCAAGCATTTATCCTGCCTTTCCCATATGATCTACATTTAGGGAAACGACATAGTTGATGACGGTAAGTTCACCATAGAATTCCAGATAATAAACACAAAAGAAATAATAGAATTAGGAAAGCCACAATTTGCAACTCTTAATAAATTAATATAGGTAATGGTCATCAATGGATGTAAAAAACCCATTAGGTAGAAGGTGAATGGGAAAATTTAATAATGGGGGCATGGGACTAATATCACCTAGCACCTCAATCCATTGATGAATTTCAGCATCACTACAAATGGGACCACCAAACATTATGTGCCTTATGATATGATACAATAGGAAGTACATATCTATCTATAAGGAATCTAACCTGTGGATCAGCACCACCCAATGTAACTTTCTGATATGATGTAATAGTTTTTATCTGTTTTGTCCAATATGGTATCCACTAGCCACATGTGACTATGGAGCACTTTAAATTTGTTAAGTTCGACTGAGGTACTGATATTTAAAAATTAATTTAAATAGACACATGTGACCAGTGGCTACTATATTAGGTAGCATAGTTATAGATTAACTGCCAGTAAATAGAATGGATTAAGGAACAAGTTAACAGCATCAGAAAATGATTAACCAAATTCATTTGTTCATAGAACAAATGTAGTTTATTTAATCAATGGAGGAGAGATAAAATAAAATAGAGGGGTGGGAGAGAAGAGGCACTGTTTTAGAATAAAACAATCTTAAGAAATATAACAGCCAGAGGCAGGTTTAGATTCTGAATTGAATAACCAAGTATAAAAAAAAACTTTGACATAATCAGGACAATTTGAACATGACATTGGTATTAGATGATACTAAGGAATTATTAATTTTGTGAAGCATAATGCTATATGGCTTATATATTTTAAATGTCCTTATCAATTAGAGGTACATGTATTTGCATGACCCTAGGTGCCTCACTTGCCTCACCGTAGTTCTGGCCTATAGTTGTGCTTGAAATAAACTATCATAAGATAGCTATATACCATTGTCATTTGTCACGGGTTGTAAAGACCTGCCCCAGCAGTGTTTCTTTATCTGAGGTCCAGGATTTAATTTTTATTAATTTGTCAAAGGTTGTATTGGTAGGCTTTGTGGAACTTCCCTATCTCTTTGTCTTCATCCAGATGAACCCCAAAAGAAGAACAAAGGTGATCCCATGAACAACCTGGAAAGTTTTTACCAAGAGATGATAATGAAAAAACGTCTTGAAGAGTTCCAACTTATGAGAGGTGAACCCTTTCCTTCCCACTCACTGGTCTCAGCTCCATCAGTGGGTGATAGTGGCACAGCTGAGAACCCATCATTACTCGAGGACAAGGGAAAACAGGCAGCACAGGGTAAAGGTCCCAGTCTCCATGTGGCAAAAGTTATTGATTTTTCACCTGAGCAGTGTTGGACTGGGCCTAAGAAGCTGACGCAGCCAATAGAATTTGTCCCAGAAGATGAAATCCAGAGAAATCGTTTGTCAGAGGAAGAGATCCGAAAAATTCCTATGTTTTCTTCATATAATCCAGGGGAACCAAACAAGGTATAGGCCAAACCAAGTAAAACAGCCTGGGTTGATTTCACTTTTATTTACCTCTACCTAAAGTAATCCTTTTAAATTAGCTTTGATGATACCAAAGAATCATGATATAGGCACAGTGATTGTGTTTGTCCTTGACCTTGACTATTTATTCTTTGCATACTATGTAAGTAACATATTTCCTATAATGTTCTTGGTACTTTGCTAAGGTCCTGAACTACCCATAGAGTTTTAAAGAAATCTTGGTAAGACTAGTCCATACCCATTAGAATCCCTGAATTGAAGGAAAAGTAACCTCCAATTTCCTATGGTGTAATAATCAAATAGTGTTCATAGGACCACCATAGCTGGTAGCCATGGTGCCTCTGGAATTAGTCAGTAATTGATGCCTGGTTGTGAGTAGGGTATATGCTACCACATGAGTCTTCTCTTCAGAATGCTTACCTGGCTTTCATATGACATATGACTTAAGTTGCCATTGGCAAAGCAGCAAAGTGAAAAAGTCCTATAAGCTTCAAGAAATTATCCAACAAGGCCAGGCATGATGGCTCACACCTGTAATCCCAGCACTTTGGGAGGCCAAGGTGGGCAGATCATGAGGTCAAGAGTTTGAGACCAGCCTGACCAACATGGTGAAACCCCCTGTCTACTAAAAATGCAAAAATTAGCTAGGCATGGTGGTGCACACCTGTAATCCCAGCTACGCAGGAGGCTGAGGCAGGAGAATCGTTGAACCTGGGAGATAGAGGTTGCTGTGCACTGAGATCGTGCCACTGCACTCCAGCCTGGCTACAGAGTGAGACTCCGTCTCAAAAAAAAAAAAAAAAAAAAAAATTGTCCAACATGTAACTAAATAACATAAATATTTCTTATTTTATTGATCAAATCATTATTTCACATTCATGTTATATGTTACATCTGGATTGGAAAACTCATTACTGTGTTACCCAAAGAGACAACACAAGCTCCTGTAGCATATACTTTGTTGTGTCTAAAAAACAAAACCAAAAATATAATGTTAGTTTTTGACTGTCTCTGAATTTTAAAAAAATCATTCTAGATTAGGGATATTAAAACAGTTGCTTTGACTGATTGAATTTCTAATAGTTCAGGGGTATTTATGCTATTAGTTCAAGGATAGCTTGATTTTTATTTACTTTTTGTTGTGAAATATTAATATACCAAAAGTTATATCAAATCGTGTAACAAATATCTATGTACCCAGCCAACCCTTATTAATCATTATCAATTCCTAATATTTTCCATATTCGCTTAATTAAAAAAATAAAGCATTATAGATATTCCTGAAGACTTCCACATATCCCTTACATTGGTGAGGGATATGTGGAAGTCTTCAGGAATATCTATAATGCTTTATAGATATTCAGGAATGTCTATAATTTGCTATTTATATATTTATTACTTATAAAATTATAAAGAGCAAATTTTATATATGTAACCTTTCCAGATGTAACCACTATCCTGAATTTGCTAATTATAATTCCTATGCATGTTTTTTTATTTTTACTACATAGCTGTATATTCACAAATAACATATAGTTTTATATGTTCTAATACTGTATAGATGACATACTCTATCATTCTACAACTTTTTTAACTCAATATACATAATGTTTTGGAAATTTATTTCCAAAGATACAAGGAAGTATATAGTATTCATTCCATTGTAGAAATAGACCATAATTTATTTTATTTATCAGTTTCCCTGAAGATTTGTTCTTTCTGTTATTTTGCCATTACAGATAATTCTGCAACAAGTATTATTATACATATCTTTTGTTGCACATACACCAGACTTTTTCTAGGACAGTATTTTTCAAACTTAGGTTACAAATAGCAGGTCACAACCAATGGGATTTTTTTTTTTAATGAAATGGAATAGAATAGAACATATCAAAAAGTATTCCTTATCAGTATGTTCGGGTAATTACTGTTTCTTTAAGCTTTTATATTATATATGTTTGTGTATATGTGAGATGTGTGTGTGGGGCCACAATGAATAATGCAGTTTTTCCTGTAGATCTCAACAAAAGTGTTGGGAAGGTTTTACTGTATTACAGTGGTTCTCAAATGTTGGTGTGCATCAGAATTGCCTGGAGGGCTTATTAAAGCACAGATTGTTAGTCTCCACCCCCAGAATTTTTGACTCAGTAGATCTGGAGTGGGGCCTGAGAATTTGCATTTCCACCAAGTTCCCAAGAGATTCTGGTGCTGCTGGTCTGAGAGTGACAATTTAAAGTCATTGTTCTAGGTTATATACCTGGGAGTGGAATTACTGTGATATTTAGGGTATGTATATCTCAACTTCTAATGAACAGGGTTTCAGAGGTCTCTTCCCATTCTTGCCAAAACTTTGGAGTATTAGACTCTTTATTTTCCCAACCTAATCAGTTTGAAAAGATATCTCATTGTTTTAATTTGCATGTTTCTGATTTCCAGTGAGATTATGTATGTATTCTTAACATTTATTTACCTTTCAGCAACTTTCTGTGAATTATCTGTTATATTCCTTTGCCGAATATTTGTTTTTTCATATTTATTTATAAGGATTATTCTAAAATTCTGCATACGAATCCTTTCTGTTGTTTATTTAGCAAATATCTTCTCACAGTGGATGATTTACCTTTTAACATTGTTCCTGATGTCTTTTGTTGAGCAGAAGACTTTCATTTTAATGTTATCAGATTATCAGTACTTTATTCAATGGTTTGTGCTTTTTAAGTCATTTTAAGGAAATCCTTCCCTACAAATCAATAAGAAAATACAAATGGCACAATAAAAATGTTTATAAAAACAGATATGGCCGGGCGCGGTGGCTCACGCCTGTAATCCCAGCACTTTGGGAGGCCGAGGCGGGTGGATCATGAAGTCAAGAGATCGAGACCATCTTGGTCAACATGGTGAGACCCCGTCTCTACTAAAGATACAAAAAATTAGCTGGGCATGGTGGTGCGTGCCTGTAATCCCAGCTACTCGGGAGGCTGAGGCAGGAGAATTGCCTGAATCCAGGAGGAGGAGGTTGCAGTGAACCGAGATCACGCCATTGCACTCCAGCCTGGGTAACAAGGGCGAAACTCCGTCTCAAAAAAAAAAAGAAAAACAGATATAACAGGCAATTCACAGAGGCAAAAACACCAATGGCCAATAAACTTAAGAAATCTCATTAGTAATCAAGAAAGTGCAAAATAAATCTATACTATGATATTTACATTTAATACTTAGAATGCTGGCATGTATTTAAAGGCCTAACAATGCCAAGTATTGGTGAGCATATGAAACAATAAGAACTCCATGTAATCCCAGCACTTTGGGAGGCCGAGGCTGGCGCATCACCTGAGGTCAGGTGTTTGAGATCTGCCTGGCCATGGTGGCGAAACCCCACCTGTACTAAGAATACTAAAAATTAGCTGTGTGTGATGGCACACACTTGTAATCTCAGCTACTCAGGAGGCTGAGGCATGAGAATCTCTTGAACCCAGGAGGCGGAGGTTGCAGTGAGCCGATCACGCCACTACACTACAGCCTGGGTAACAGAGTGAGACTCTGTCTCAAAAAAAAGAGAGAAAGAAAGAAAGAAACAGTAAGAACTCTAATATACCTCTAGGGGAATATAAATGAACACAGCCACTTCTGCCTATTTACCTCTGGGGGAATATAAATGAATACAGCCACTTCTGCTTGTTGTAATATTGTTTATGAGGTGCATTCATGTTCATTAGGAGTATTGGTAAAACATGGTATGTTTTTAAACTAGAATACTACACAGTAGAGAAAATGAATAAAATAGAATTATAGGTATCAATGTGGATGAAACTCACAAACATAATTTTGAATGCAAATGACTAGTTGCAGATTTCTAGTTTCAGCTTCAACATGTGAAGTCCTTAGAAGTCATCACTCCTGTCTTACAATAAGAAAAACAGCTGAACAAACTAAAAATCAATGACTTTTCTTAGACCCAGCAGACAGGGCAAACTGCAACCGTGAAATCTGGAGAAACAGACAGTTATACAAAATCACATCCTAGATTTGCTTATCAGGAGCAAAAGGCACTGTAGCCATAAACTGGTAGAAACACTTAGGTGGTAACTTTGACAAATTGCTGGAGGTAGAGTGTAGACTAGTGTGGGAATGACAAAACTCCTGAGGGGCCACAGTCTTAGAGGATTTTTTTTACTTCCAGGAACCCCACAAGGTTCAAGGTAAAGAGCTAAGGAAAAAAAAAATCTCTTGTTTCTGGCATGAAGAGAGGAAACACAATCATTTTTAAATGTATCCAGAACTTTCTACCTAGCAAAGGGCTACCCCACAAGGAAAACTATACCAAAGCCTTATCCAACTTCAGGCTCTTCTGGCTTTCCTGTCTCATCCAAGAGAGAGAGAGAAAAAAAAAAGCTGTGAAATGCTTATGAAGGTTACAGGCTGGAGACACAGGCACACTAAAAGATTGAGACTTCCAACATAGGAGTGGAGAATGCTTCACTTTTTACACCTTGCTACCACATCAACAGGGCTTCAGTATAATAACCATGGATTATAGCTGAAAGACCTGCAAGGGTCAGACTCTATTTAAGGAGATTTGTTTGTTTGTTTGTTTTTTGTAAGCCCAAATAAAACAAGGGAGACAAAAAGACACTAGAAGAAATGAAAACTTCTGATACCTACAGCTACAGCAAACATTAAGCACAGCCCAACTCCTGGCCAGATTAACATAAAACCTCATGCTAACAGCCTCTTTGGCTCAGTTCCTATTACTTGATAGATCATGTCCAGTTTAAAACAGAAAAAAATTATAATGTATGCTAAACAAAAATAAAACAAAGTCTGGGGAGACAAAACAAGCATGAGAACCAAATTCAGATATGACACAGGTTTTGGAATTACCAGATGTGGAATTTAAAATAACCACGATTAATATACCAAGTAGGCTATGAATGAACATAGATAACATGCAAGACTGGATGGCTAATGTAAACAGAGAG